TTAGGGTTTCACGTTTAGGGTTTAGGGTTTTTCGGTTTCAGGGGTTGGGGCTTTCAGGGTTTAGGTTTAGGGTTTGCACTTGACCTTCATGTTTATGGGAGGAGGGTGAAAGTGTATGGGCTTTGAGGTTCTGAGTTTTGGGGTGAGGTTTAGGGCTACCCATAAAGGGGCTTAGGGCTACTGTATGGGTTCTATACGCTGGAAGGGTTTTGAAGGCTTAGGCCGAGGCTTTAGGGCGTAGGGCTTGGAGTCAGGTTTCTATTTGTCTGTGTAGGGTTTAGGGTTTAGGATTTAGAATATTGGGGCTAAGGCCCGCAAAAGGTGTTGGTGCAACAAACTGGCGAGACAGTGTAGAGGTTCCGTCAGAACTCCATACAGCCTCCAGCAACCCCGCGACAACTCGCGACAACCAACAAAATGTCAACCCTAAACCCTAAACCATGACTAAACCCCGGCAACAGACTAAACTTGGGCAAAGGTAGAAAGTCGAATCACAACCCAACCTGCTGAACCATACATTACTCTACCCATATAGGATCCCTAAACCAGAAAAGGGAGCTATCATGGAGCCTACAAGTAGCCCCACTTGCCCTGCTTTCCGTAAAACTCTGACCCTACTTCTGCACTCACTTCCTGAAAAAAGCCGCGGAGACTCCAGAAATGTCCAACGCCCCCCCACAAAGTTTAGGGTTTAGGGGTTTAGGGCTTACGGTTTAGGGTTTAAGGTTTAGGCTTTACCCATAGGCCCCTAAGTAGTTCCTTTTTGTGGCTCATAATTTTAGAATCCTACAAGGTAATCCCCAAAAGGAACTACTTAGGAACCTATGGGTAGCCGTGTACCCAGAACATGCTTAAGTGTTTCTGGACACGCACATGGGGACCGCGCAATGCCCGAACCTTTTGGGGTTTAGGGTTTAGGGCTCAGGGTTTAGGGTTTAGGGCTTAGGGTTTAGGGCTTAGGATTTAGGGCTTTGGGTTTAGGGTTTTGGGTTTAGGGGCCTGGAGAGTGCTCGGCTGCATCAGCATTTTAGCGTCCAGCATTGGGAGATCAACTGCAAGTCCCGAAAGGCCCAAAAAGCAGGCCACGGGTTCCCCAAAGTCCACGACTCTGAAGCCCCAAAATCTCTCAAGCCAACCTCTTGATTTCCCCGCATACCCAAAGCTCGCCAGTGCAGCAAAAGAATCGCCGAATCCTGGAGGCTCCCACCCTAAATTCCTAAGGCAAAAGCTCCACCCAGATAACACAAAGAAGCGATAGTGATAGTGTATATCTTGATCGTTAAAAAGTTCACGCCCCCTAAACCCCTAACCCCACCCAAAAATCCCGAAAAAGCCCCAAAAACCCTAAACCCCACCCCAAAGGACAACTTTATAACTTGTAGCCAAGGCACCTCACCAGAGGCCCAGCGTACGCACAACATCGCAACGGGGCTCGCGCTGGGGCTTACCGACTCAAGGGCAACCCGCTAATGCCGCCCCGGTTCAGGTGACGGATTCTATGAAAGGGCCCATCACGGCTGGAAGAGGTCGTTGGTATCTTGCAATAGTGAGTGGCTTACATATTAGTGTATATGTATATATATATATATGTATATGTATATATATATATGTATATATGTATATATATGTGTATATATATACATATCTATACATACTTTTCGTGTGGATATATATATATACACACACATACATATACACGCATACATAAACACAATAAATGGGGACTAACGGTTCTGGGTTTTCAGTGATAGTCGGATAGTCTTTAGGGTCTAGGGGTCGGCCCCAATGCCTACCCCAACCCCGGAAAAGAGTACCCAGAGAACCCACTACGCCTTAATTAAGGAATACACCTTAAATTATCGGGGCCGTAATATTCTGATTCAAGGTATATTCCTTAATTAAGGGGTATTGGGCTCTCCGAGTACCCGAATTCAGGCCCCAGATGCGCAACTCACACTCACCCCATAACACTAGGGCTCAGGGAACAACACATAAACCCTAAACCTGAGCCCCTAACTTTGCGGCCCTTCCGAAAAAGGGCCCGAATCGCAACCCGGTCTTTTAGCCGGATCTCGAGCCTCGTCTTTCTGCGGCGTGGGTCGGATTTCTGTTGTTATAGTTTTTTTCTTTTTAAGGGTTTAGGGTTTAGGGTTTTGGTTTAGGGTTTAGGGTTATAGGGTTTCGGGTTTAGGGCTCTGTGTTGCTTTTGCTGCAAGGCTTCTCTGAAGTAAAGCATAGCACGCAACGCGGGAACATGATCATGTCCCTTCTTCTACAACTTGAAGGAGCTAAGATGACGAATCCGATGACGCGTAACCCCTAGACTACAGACAATAGACCCTGTAAACCTGCGATTATCCCGTATACTTACCACAACGACCCCCGGCATTGGCTTCCGAACAAGAAGGGCACAGGGAGGCAAACACATGAAGTTGGGTGTCACTATAATAGCAACCCGAATGGACAACTCAACACACTCACCAGTGTCCTTCAGCAAGCCTATACAGCACACAACCCCGATCATAAACCCAACTTCGAACGAAGATCTCAGTTGCAGAAAGAGGCCGAGGGGCGAGGTGAGTGCCACAGAACCACACGGCGTCAGATCTATACGTGGGTGTGAAGAACTCTGTGCTCATGGTGCAAAATCTCACCCCTTAGCAAATCCGTAAGGGACGCTGGCATGACCAACACTGGGAATGCGGGAACGAGACGTTTACATTTAGGCGCCGCACGTCGTCAATTAAACCCAAAGAAGGATAAGCATTAACCCTGAACTTAAACCCATCCTAACACTAAGCCCTTGTCGCAACTACCCTGCATCCCAAAACACTGCTCGAACCTAGCCTAGGCCCTCTTGAACCCTGCCTTAACCTACCAGAGCCTACTTTTTTTTTTGTGGGGCCCCTTTCAATTCTTAACAACAACCTACAAAGAAGTGGGCTATGGGAGCTCCAGGAATGGTAGTTCAAGTTTTGAACAAGCCTGAACAAACCCTTTCCAACGCTAAACCCCAATGTCTCCTCAATCCTACAGAATCTTAGGGGCCGAGTACCTTATAGACCAAAAAAGGCTAACCTTTTGAATTATAATAGGTTTATATTTCAAAAGGTTAAAGGTTACCTACTCAGCTACTAAGATTCTGCAGGAAGTACCTCGGTGCTCGAGTGGGCGAGAAGAGCTGTACCCGAGCTGCACCACTTGAGCTCGGCGAGTTGACCTCGCCGTTGCTGTTTTGTTGTTCGCTCGGTTAGGGTTTAGGGTTTAGGGGTTT